CGCCTGTGCCGCTTTGCCGCCGCTTCTTCTGGATGAATGGGTGGTTGGTTTGGGAAGGGGAAGCCACAAGAAAGCCGAAGATGTTAGGGGGCCCATTGCCTTAGAATCCAACATGTCAAAACTCTTCTCTTGATTCTGCTTCTTCTTGTGCGCCCTTCTGCCCTCCTGGATTCTTGTTTCTCCGTGGCTTTCCAAGCCGACCAACCCAACAAAAACAACGTAGACATCGTAGACCAAGAGTTGAGGGATGCGATTTGTCGTGGAGAAGCTGTTGGAAAATCTGACCAGCGTTGGATTCTGGTGGATGTGCCTCTGGATTGGATTCACGAATTGGATGTCGATGCATTTTGCACGATGCACCATGACCTCGACGCCGACTTGAGGAGTTGCTTTCAAGTGAGCGCTCAACTCCCCTATTGGCCATAGTCAGTGCTTCTACCTGGTCTAATTGCTTCTCTAATTGGGGTTCTAGTTTTTGAATCTATTGGGGTAGTCAGCTATAAACCGTGGCCATCCAACCAACAGTCTGGTGAAACGGGCGCTGCTCTGAAGGTGACTGGAGGGAACTCCGGCGACCAGATGCCCCAGGATTAACAAGCCCGCTTGTTTTTTTTGGAGGATCGCGAGGGGATCCACACCAAAGCGTTTCGCTGCAAAGGCACTTTCTCTCTTTCACATGTCCTTTTCGCGACCAAGCCCTAGAAATTTCGATTTCCACATCTGTTCATCACATTGGCCCTGACGGTGCGTTCTGTCGCTAGGGAGGCTGGTGGCGCCGGCGCAGCTGCCCAAAGATCTCGTGTGGTCGGGGACTGAGAGACTGAGAGGGGGAAAGGGCGATCTCTCAGCCCCCAGCCTGCGGGCTCCTTTTTGCTTAGCTGGTTTTAACCCAACTCAAAGGGTTCCCCGCGTTCCCAGGCCCATGTACTCCGAAAAACAAAAGAAAGAGAAAAAGCGGGATTCCATGCTAGGACTTGCAGCTACCCCGAGTTTTTTTTGGATTGTGCCGCACTTGAGGTGCAGGGTTCCTTCGAGCTTCCACCCTCTTTTTGGTTGGCTTGGTACGGGACTCCGAGTCAAAGGAACACGGACATATTCTAACTGCGACGAAATGTGGAATCCATAATCTAACTGCAATGAAACCAGTCGATCAAGTAGCTCAATGGGGCAGGGTTTCTTCAAAATGTGCTTTTCCTATTTCATTTTTTGTTTTTTTAAGATTAGGCAGGCATATTCTAACTCTAACTGCTCGTCCGCAACTGTGAGACGGGGTTCGCAAACCCCTATCCTAGCGCGAAATAAATGTCGCGTTCGGGGTCAGACGAACCAAGAGTCGTCCAGCCATTTTCCTTTGACCTGTGAATATGTGGGTTGATCAAAAGGTCCTTTACATGGGTTGATCAGAAGGGAAGAAGGGTGACTTTCACCACATGGAAAAAGTTTCCGATGGTCATTTTGTGGAAAGGAACATTGATCAACCCCCCATATTGCGTATGTGGATTTGAATGTCGTCCACCGAGCTGAGAGATGGCGTTTCATTTTTCAGCTCAGCTCCTGAATCTTCTTTTGGGACTTTGCGCGCCTCTGACTTTTGCTTTGACGTCAGGTTGGATGCCCCTTTTCCTCCCCTAGTTTTAGTTTCCACGCAGTGCATGTACAAACTTGTGTCGTTCCCCGCTTTACGTGAAGCTTTCCATGGTGCGTTCCATGGGAAGTGTGCTCATGCTTTGTTTGAGGATGTTTCTGATTGCTCAGACCTGGGTGGGAGTTTCCGCAGCGTGAACTCAACTGAAAACCTGAGTTGTTTGGAATAAGTCCTTAATCACTTATGCTATGGTGGGTGCCCTAAGTATTGCAAATCAACTAATCACAAACCATGCAAGCTTAAGGGTTTCCCTTGTTCCCTACTTGCACTATATATCTAGAGGTTGATTCTCCATTCCCTGTCCGGAAGAAGGATTGATTTATTCCTCAAAACCCCTTTCCTTGTCCGGAAAGAAGGATCTCTGGCCCCTGGACGGAGCAGATCGTACGCACAAAATGCTCCCCCGTGGGAAAGATCCCTGCGAGGCCCACGTCTTGTGCGAAGCTTAGGTCCAACCTGGCTCCGGCATGGTGAATGTTTCTACACGCATACACATGCGTGATGGTTGCATCAATGAGGGGAGATGGGAAACAGCAAGATAGAGAAAGACTGAGAGAGAAGGAGAGAACAAAACAAGACAAACAGATGGAGGGAGCAAGTCAAGATCTAAGTGATTCCTCTGGAAATGGGGGCAGGAGGCGAGCCGCGGCTGCGAAATCGCCAGACAAAAAATAAGCTCGGTTGATATCCCCAGCAGCATGCGGTGCTCTTTTTGGTGCTCGAACCACCCCGCAGCCCTCGCAGAACCTCGTGGAAACCTGGTGGAATCTTGGTGGAACCCTGGTGGAACCCTGGTGGAACCCTGGTGGAACCCTGGTGGAACCCTGGTGGAACCCTCGTGGAACCTTGCCTCAGGGCCGCCCCGGACCACCCCGGAGCCTATCTGGGCTGAGACCCCCCAGCTTTCAGCTGTTGGGGGGAAAAAAAATCAGCAGGCGGTCTTGCGCGGCCCACAACGAGAAGAACATGCTGATCCTTCGGCAGGGCATCCAAGAGTTTGTTGGCAGAGTAGCTCAGGCGCAGTTTAAGAGAAGGAGCCCCAAAGCCCCAACCATTTTGAGATCCGAATCTCCTTTCGGGAAACCGGACCCGAGTTTTTTCGGGTTCCTTTGCGAATGTGTAGGGCAGCAAGTGGTTCGTCACAGTTCGGGTCTGTCAGTTTTTGAGAGCTCGCTTTGGGCAGGGACTTGGGGCCTGACTCACGAGTTCCTGGGTCGATGGGATTTGAGGCATCGGGCAGCATTGGCTTAGGCACATGCGGGAACACACACCTCCCAATGCCAGACCCCGCGGCAACTGCATCCCGAGAATCTGGCTTTCCAAGATGGGCCCGAATTTGTAGTCACTGGAAAGACGCTAGGTAGTCTTCTCATTGAATATTGGGATCACATTTGCGGCAGCAAGCGGGCCGCACAAGGAGCGGGCCACCTCGATGTTGCAAGCGCCTCGTTGAGGGCTGACCTTGCTAGAGCTCTTAGTTCAGGTGGTGCCACTTGTGATATCAATGTTGCTGACATTTGAGAATGAGTCTCTTGACATGCGTCACTGCTGACCTGTGCATTTTTTGGAGGGAACGTCAAAGGACAGCATTCATCCAGAGCCTGGGTTTACCTCCTGCCCCCAAGGGCTTGGAATCAACCTCCCCGCTCTGTCCACCTGTGCCTTGTGGAACCCGCCAAACACCCGTGAACATTTCTCTCCCTTTCGGCTTTCGGCTTTCGGCTTTTGGCCTGGGCACTCAGAGAAATGTGACGGATTGCTGCCGTTCAAGCTGACGTGTGCTGAAGTTGTCTTTTCTCTGCAGCAGCAGCAGCAGCAGCAGCAAGAACAAGAGTGCCATAGGCGTCCATTTGATCGGTTAATTTAGTTGTGTTAGAAATCGATGGGCTTCCACCGGTTTAGATTGGTTTTTGTGCTGTCCATTTTTCAGGGAAACCCGAATCGATTTTGCCGAAAGGTCGGACCGATGTTCAGAGTGCCCCCCCCCCCCATCTTGCGAGTTGCGAGGCCGCCCCCGGAGTCAGGCGACTTGCGGGACTTGCGCGGCTGAGTTCGGGCTGTTCGTTGCTTCCCACCGGAGGGCTGAAACTTGCCATAAGTCTTACGGAAGGCCACAAGCAGTCCTTACCCATGCTCGAGTGTACCTCAGTAGGATGGCCTCAGTGAGGTTTAAAGTGGGCTTATAACTAGGTTTACGGTGGGTTTAGAGCAGGTGTATCATGGGGTGCCCGCCATGGGCCCCCAAAAGGGGTCCCCCAAAAGTAACGTGCTCTTTGCTCAAATGGTACCTAAAAAGCGCTATCTAAATTATTTTTGCCACATAAATGGACATTGCTCAAATAGTGACTAAAAAGCTAGATTTGCTACATTTTTTCTCTGGCTACTCAAATGCTACTCAAATGCTCCTCAAATGCTGCTCAAATACTGCAAAACACATCCTAATTTGAAGGTTTTGGTCGAATCTGCTCAAATGCTGCTCAAATGCCACTCAAATGCTACTCAAATGCTACTCAAATGCTACTCAAATACTCCAAAACACAACCTAATTTGAAGATTTTGATGCTACTCAAATGCTACTCAAATACTCCAAAACACATCCTAATTTGAAGGTGTTGCCCAAATTCCACGAAAAAGCATTAAATCGGGTGTCCCAGGGTATACCAACCCCCACTCAATCATAGGATCCAGTCATGGGTTCCCAATGTTTACCCCCCCCACTCAATGTGCAGTTTTACTGCTTTTAAGCGCTTAACTTTTGGGGGACCCGTTTTGCGGACTCATGGCGGGGACCCCATGAGTGTAGGTTTTTGGTGGGCTTTGGGTAGGATGCTGAGGGTGGGGTTTACACCTGGCTAAGAGGGGCGATCGGGTAGGTGTGTGGCGAGAAACCATGGTCACCAGCTTTTCGTGATTCTAGGTCCCCTAAGTTGGTTGTAGTCCTGGTCACTAGTCTTCCAAGCATCGTGCGTCTTCAAGTGCAGTGGTTTGTCTAGGTTCGGCCAAAGGTAGGAGCTGGGGAGCAACGCCCGTGTCTGAATCCGCGCGCTTGAGTCAGACGCTCGGGTTTGCTGCAGATGATCATGAACCCGTAAGGGGAGCCCATCAATAAACCCCTTGGTTGATTTACAGAGGGCAAGGTCCTGAGCTGTGTGTTTTTTCATATAAATCCTTGTTTTTTTCAAACGTGCGAAGATGTGGTTTTAGCACAGGACCTTGCCCTCTCCAGCACTCACAGTGTAACCACTGACAACAAATCGCAGGTATAGTCAAGGAATACCAGCAGCGCATCATCCATCAGCCATTTTTTTCAACACACCGCTCCCATCGCATTCAAGATCCTCATCTCCTGATTATCATGGCTCTGGAGGCGGAGAACCTGACCTATGACGGGTTGAAGGACATTGTGGATGGGTACTTGTGCCGCCCTTGCTCGCCCGTGGTTACTCCAGAGCTTGCGCGTGGCACCTTCGACATGACCACGTTTCCCATGGACGAGCTCCGCAGCACAGACAATGTGTCCGTGCACGTCTTTGACATCATCTGGGGCTTCAATGACGACATCGACATGCAAGAGCTCGGCCGACTGTACAAGCAGGCCTGTGAACAGGGAGACCTACAGCTGTTGCCAAGTCGTTTCGGCTTGAAGGAGCGATGCCCCAAGGAGACCAAGCTACAGATGGTCATCTGCAATTGCAATGATGGCAGCAAAGTCATCCTGAAGCACATCATGTTCCCGCAGAAGATGAAGGCCTGCCTCTTTGAGAAGATGGTCTATGGCCGCCCGCACCGAGCAAAGTGGATGACGGGATCACCCAAGACAGGCCGGAAGGTCTTGCAGTACTGCTTGGAGCATCTTGGTGGCTTTGTCTTCACAAATGCAGAGCTAAAGAGCAGATAACACTGGCAGCCAACAGAGGTAGTAGAAAACCAAAAAAACCTCGAGAAAACAAAAAGCAAAAAAAACAATCTGGGAGCACAGATATAGGTGTATGCCAAGAATGTCCCCCACCAGATTTGTTTTTTTTTTGGGGGTTTTCTCGAGGTTTTTTGCACTTTTCCCAAAAACCCAAAAAACCTCGAGAAAACAAAAAGCAAAAAAACAATCTGGGAGCACAGATATAGGTGTATGCCAAGAATGTCCCCCACCAGATTTGTTTTTTTTGGGGGGGGTTTTCTCGAGGTTTTTTGCACTTTTCCCAAAAACCCAAAAAACCTCGAGAAAACAAAGCAAAAAACCAATCTGGGAGCACAGATATAGGTGTATGCCAAGAATGTCCCCCACCAGATTTGTTTTTTTTTGGGGGGGTTTTCTCGAGGTTTTTGCACTTTTCCCAAAAACCCAAGAAACCGCGAGAAAGCCAACAAAAACAATCTGGGAGTACAGAGATGGTGTATGCCAAGAATGTCCCCCACCAGATTGTTTTTTGGTTTTCCCGAGGTTTTTTGCACTTTTCCCAAAAAACCAAGAAACCTCGAGAAAAGCAAAAAAACAATCTGGGAGTACAGAGATGGTGTATGCCAAGAATGTTCTCCACCAGATTGGTTTTCTTAGTTTTTTTGGCTTTTTGGTTTTCTCGAAGTTTTTTGTGGTTTCAGAGCACAAAAGGGGCAAAAGTGGTTATATGAAAAACCCACCGCTCAGGACCTTGCTTTCTGGAGATTTAATGGTGTCCCATTTCATAGGGGACCCGAGTCACTTTTGGGCGAAAAATGTCTTCCAATCCGGGCCGGGAACAGCACAAACCACACCGGCGCCAGGGGTCCCTCGAGCTCCAAGTTGTCTCGACCCCCAAAAGTTGAAACGGATGATTACCATGTTCTCTCACGTAATTTGGCCTAAGATCACCTCGCAAACTTTCACTTATGAAGGAAGCAATCACATCTCACCCCGACCCAGCCCCCTTTTTTGTCCCGACGCGGCGTTTTTTCCCCTCGTTCCGGCGACGGTCCGTTTTTCGGCGCTTCTGTCAGGCGAGACGGATCTTCTGGTGGCCGGGAAGTCTCAGGATTTCGGGGGGGGGGGGGAACCCCAACCCCTCAAACTGGCGTCCATGTCCTTGTGCTGCGAATCTACCCCTCGGTGGCCCTGAAAACCCCTCAACATGGTGTCCGTTTCTTGTGCTTTGAATCCACCCCAGGGAGCCCCGAACAACACCAGGGGGGATGTTGGAAGGGGAGACATAGGGAACTTTGCCAAGCACTTCAATCGCACGAGGCTCACGCCAGGCTCCCGAGTTAATCCTTGGGAAGCATATTATTTCTTGCCCGCCATTGGTTATTCGCCAAGTGGTTAGTTGCACCCAGCCAGGCCGAATCCAGTTTAGCCCCCAGCGTCACTTACCAAAAGCGCCACTGGAGGCATTGGATCCCTGCCGAGCAGTATCCCCGCTCGATGGAAACTTGGGTCGATGCATCTCATGCTCGACAAACAGACAAAGCATAGACAGTCATGGTCATTCTGGGGCAAATTAGAACGGGCTCAGCCGATTCACAGACAAAACGAGTCAACCCACCAAGGTTTCTAGTGGATTCATTTTCCGGTTTGTTAGTAGCTTGCCTGAATACGTGTGGTCAAACCTTTGCTTGTTTCCCCCCCATCCCCCCCGGATGGTCATGTGTGATCCCCTCAAGCGGTTTGGATTGGAGCCCTGGTTGAGGGCAAATGGGAAACCACGCCTAGCATCGCCTAACCACTACCACACTCCGCCGCTTGGGAAGCTGACGGTCCTCCGCTCAGGTCCATGAAGGCTGCCGCGCTGGTACCCGGGCCCAGCAAGAGGCGCGCAGCTCCGACCCGACGCCTGGCATTTTGATGACGTTTTTTTTATTATTCCCCCCCCCCCCCGATGGACAGGCGTCCTTTTTAGCTTAGGTTCGTTTAGAAATAGATTGGTTCCACTAGTTTGGTTTTATGCCCCATTTGCCAGGGCCATCAATTTTTGTCCAAAAGGTCACGATGTTCCGATCTGGTTGTGTCCTAAAATGTTAGGCTTGCCTTTAAGGTTTCTGTCTTTGTTGGCAGACTTTTCTTTGTCCAGTGGATCATGCCTCCAGCAGCTCAAGAAAACCCGCGGCGCAAAGGGAGCCTCATGCTCTGACGCGGCACTTGACCCCCGTTTTGGGTTCATGGCCGCTACCCCCCGAAGCCTCTGCCAGAAAATGGAAGGGACCCCTGCAGAACGGAAGGGACCCCCCAAATTCAAAACCCACCTATTTGGAAGAGGAATCTCCTTTTGCGGGACTCTTGCTTTTGGTTTCCTTCCGTTAATTTGTAGGGCAGCAACTGTTGTACCCCCCAATGCTGACCCCCGGGATTTTCTCAGACCCCTGTTTATGAATGTGGGCCCCGGGTGCTTCTCCCTGATTTTGGTGGGGATGCATCACTTTTGGAGGGGAATCACCCCCCATACCAATACACAGGGGTTCTGCTTAGTCCGGGGTTGACATTCGCCACTTTTCCGGCCACGAGCTGCACCATGGGAGCTGGAAGGTCCGCTCTACTCAGAATCCACGTGAAAGGATGTGCGGGCAGTGGTCATTTTGGGCCTATCACTGAAACATGTCTCCTGGATCTAGATAGCGTATGCGCCAACCTTCCCTTCCCTTTGGGATAGTGGTTTGGGCGCGGAAATCCTGCGGAGGCGCGGAATGTGCCAAGGCAGGCAAGAAGCCATGGAACACCATTGTTTGTTGGTATTTGCGTTGGGGACTCGAATTCCGTTGGGTTTATGAACGGGGCAAAATGGATTTCGAAGCCATGCAAAGTAGTGAGCGACTAGATAATATTAGTACTTCCTTCGTTTCGCGTCGTTTCGCGAGCCGCTGCTGACGCACGAAAACAATTGAGGCCGCCCTGCATGGAGTTTCGGGTTGGGACCATGCGCCCTTCAAACGCCCTTTGAACCAGTCGGCTGTTTCGGAGACCTCAGTCGTTGCGTACCTGCACGAGACTTCCTATGGTGCTCAGACCTTCAGTGGTGCCCCCTTTTTCATTCATTTCCCGGAGGGGTTGCCGATTGAAACTCACAACGTAGGAGCGCCTTGCTGGTCTGGGGGGGGGGACTTCCAGCGGCACGAAGTGACTCTCTTGAACAGATCCTTTCCATTTTGCAGCAGCAAAGTGCTCAGCTTGATTATCCAACTTGGATCCTTTCCGACCCATGGGAAGCATGCGGCGTGATATGGGGAAAATACTGATTTCGGATGAACTTTCTTTTTGGGACCCCTTTTTGATTGGATTGTAAAGTTGGACCAAGTGGAAACCAACCATTTCGGGAGTCCATGTAATCATTTTTGAGACCCATGGACCAGCCAAAAAGCCTTGAAGTCTCCGGAGGAAGTGGCTCGTCTAAGCTGGCTCTCCATGGAGAAAAGGTAGCAGTTGACTGCTTTGGCCTATGGGTGGGGGTATGTACGCTAGCTCGGTTGGGGTGGACATGAATCTCTTCCACTTGCCCAAAGCGAATTGACAGGATCTACCCTTTTGGTTTCCCCTGATTTGGTCCATATCTAATCGAGGCTCCACATGGTGCACCTTTTATTTCCGGGTCTAGCCTGGGAGAGCGAGATACTCCTTAACCTCCAAACTATCCACAGGTACGGGGGCCTGGCGCGCGACCGTAGGATTGTTGGCCCACGCAGGTCCCCTACAAGGACGGCCTCACAGAGAAGCTCTTCGCAGTGGACCATGAGAAGCAGGCGACTCGCCGAAAGCGTTCCTTCGCGCCCGGGGGCACGCAAAGTGGAGTCGGTGACCATGGTAAGCCTCTTGCCATGGTCGTAAGCCCTCTAAGTAGGTCAAATTCTCATGTGAAATTGGCACCTAAGTAGTTGGTCCACGGCTCATATTCCGCCGTGGATCAAAATGCAATTTCGTGTGTTTTTACCCCTTCGGGCTACTGAAATCCTGTTTTGACTTACGGCGGAATATGAGCCGTGTTCCTAGTTACCCTGCTTTGGATGAGCCGCTTTTGTCGGTCTTGGGTTCCGCTTGGCTTTGCTCGACGCGTCCCGTGTGTCCTGCTTCTTTGGGGCTCCAACAAATTTTCAGTCGGCTGCTGTCCGGAGTTTTTCCTTTTGTGGGTCCCATTTGTCCAAGGCTGCGGGTGAAACGAGTGTTGCGAGCTTGAAACCGAACCGCTGGTCCTTAGGTTTCAAAAAATATTTCCCATTTTGATCTTCCTAACTACTGGTCTTCAAGCGCCTAAAGTGAAGGGCTGAGGGCTTTGAAATGCTAGGCGACCTTCATATATCCTGTCGAGGTTGGCGATCTTCAGATATCCTTGTCCAGGTTCCAGAGGACCGCTTTTCCAGGTAAGTGAGATGTGGTAGATGGCATCACTGCGAAGAAAATGAGTCAGGGAGCTCCAAATGACGAGCTGCCGTTCAGCGCCAGCTGAATGCCTTTGAGATTGTCTGGTACGGGTTGCAGACCTCGTTCCGTGGCAAACCAAAGGGGGAAGGTTAGGGCAATATGTGGTCGTCAGCATGGCTTGATGCACAGACCCTTTTTGGAAGATTCTGTTCCTCTTGAAAAAGGGGCCTTGGGACACGGTGGTTTCCTGTAGCCCCCCAAATTTTTGGAGAATCAATGGACACGCACCTCTCAGGCGACTACTCGTGTCACATCTGGGGGTGTGGGAAGGCAATTTTCTATGTGGGGGTTGATCAATTTGCCGTTCAGCCCCCAAATGACCATGGGTAACTTTTCACATTTAGAGGGACATATCATGTTGTTAGTGGTTTCCAAGGGTCATCCCATGTAAGGGACCTTTTGATCAACCCCCCATTTGCCTTGTGCAAGAACCAGGGTTCATATCCCCAAACCACCAATCCAAGCATTACCAAGAGAAGGGGCAAGGGGCAAGTCCTTCCCCAAGCTTCTAGTCGCCAGGAGTG